CACACACACACACACACCAGTCCACAGCCTGCACTCAGTCACCTGCTTAACAAGGAGCGTCGTCTCCGCCGGGCGTAGATTAACCCAGATGAGTCTCTGCACTGGAGATAAGAGCCATCGACCTTCAAGTTTTGGGTTCACATAAACACACTGAGGCTCGAACTAACGTGTTAATTGCAAAATACACGCCTCATGCAAATAGTGTGTTTGTTTACTTAGCGAGGGCTATCTGGGTTCAGCTCAACAGGGAGGCTTCTGTAAGCAGATGGTCCAGTGTTCTTGTTTGCCCTTGAGAAAGGGCACCAACCCAGTGGTAGCAACACAGCGATATGCAGCAGCTGAGGATTTGGTGGAAAAGCCTTTTAACACAGGCTTTGAGAGTCAGAACTGTAGAAGAAGAGGAATATGAGTGTATGCATGCGTGCAAGCTCTTTATCTTCATACTTGACTGCATAAATACGAAAGTACTGTATATATCCTGATATCATGTCCCCTTTGTCCCCTTCCTTGTTCCTCCAGAGGACATCTTCCCCTGTAAGGCATGTGGAATCTGGTTTCGGAGTGAGAGGAACCTGCAGGCCCATCTGATGTACTATTGCAGCGGGCGACAGAGGGAGCCAGAGACGGTCGTGGAGGAAAATGACACCGGCCCCCACCAGACCCCGAGTATCTGCCCATTCCCACAGTGCAACAAGAGCTTCTCTGGAGCCCGGGCCCTGGAAATGCACTTGAGCACCTCACACAGTGGTGGGTGGCAATGTCATGGATTAATTTTTTTTCTATATATATCACAGCTTTTGAAGATTTTTAAAAGAAAGGGGGTCAAAAGTGCTGTTTTAGAAAAAAATGACACCGGGACAGAGTTTTAAACAGGTTTGGAAAAATGACTGTCATTTCTTTTCAGAAATATACATATCCCGCTGTCAGCTAGCATAGTTGACAGTTTATCCTTGAGCAAAAAAAATCTAGTGGATGGGAATAAGCTTGGCATAATGCATGAGCGTTTGATGGTTTCTACAGTTAACTCTAAAGGAGAAGTGGGAGGCGAGATTCTGAGCATTTCTCCCTTTTATCTCCTTCACAGGTGTCAAAATGGAAGAGAGCCTCCCTCCTGGCACCAGCCTGAAATGCACAATCTGTAACTACACGGCAGATTCTCTTATTACATTCCAGCATCACATCATGTCTCACCTGTCACAGGCGGCCTTCAGATGCAATCACTGCCATATCAGCTTCCAGAGCCACAGGGAACTCTTACAGCATCAGGACTTACATGGGCACGGCAGCAAACTTCACAGGGAAGGCGACGGCACCGAGCATTCCCCCAGGGGGCCCGAGGAAAGCCTCCAGCAGCAGCAGCAGCAGGCCCGCGCTGAGCTGGCCAACAGGAAGGATGCTCTGCTGGGAAGTCCCAAAGGGGCCCTCAACAAGGAGACCAGCACAGACGGAGAGGCTGACAAGGCTGAGAAGAAGCCCATGCTGTCTGTTCAGAAGGGAGAGGCCCACCCAGGCAGCAAAGCCAGTTTTTCTTACACTAGGATCAAGTCTGAGCCCTCCAGCCCCCGGCTGGCGTCCTCCCCTGTGCAGCATAACATGCCTACATTTCCCATGGGCCCCTTCTTGTCTCAGTTTGCTTTCTCCCAAGACATTTCAGTAGTCCCGCAGGCTTCTGAGATTCTGGCTAAAATGTCAGAGCTAGTTCACCGGAGGCTGCGCCATGGAGGGAACAGCTACCCCCCTGTCATCTACAGTCCTCTTATGCCCAAAGGGGCCACCTGTTTCGAATGCAATATCACCTTCAGCAACCTGGACAACTATTTGGTCCACAAAAAGCACTACTGTAACAGTCGCTGGCAACACATGGCAAAGTCTCCGGACTTCTCCGCCCTCTCAGATAAGGTCCCGGAGGCTGTGAGCCCCAACAGTGGTCACAGTTCTGTTAGCATGTTGGCCGGCTGCCACCCTACAGAGGCCGACAACCACCTCATGCAGTCTGCCTGTCTGAACTCCAATGTGTTGGACATGATCAATGCTGGGGCTAAAGGGCCTGATAAGGATCTAGCAGGACAGGTGAAGAAGGTCTCTACCCCAACTGGGGCTGAGGAGAGGCTGAATGGCAAGCAGATGGAGGGTAAAAGCCCCAGTACGGGTTTGGTGGAAAGTGACAATGACCCTAACAAGACAACCTGCGAAGCCTGCAATATCACCTTCAGCCGTCATGAGACCTACATGGTCCACAAGCAGTACTACTGTGCCACCCGTCATGACCCACCCATGAAACGCATGTCCACCAACAAGGTACCCTCCATGCAGAGAACCATGAGAACCCGCAAACGCAGGAAGATGTATGAGATGTGTCTCCCTGACCAGGACCACCAAAGGCCCCCTATGGGTCAGCCGGGTTTCCTTGGGGTTCCTCCTATGAACCCTTGTACATCCCAGGAAGCTGTAGAGAGCCTAGCAGACCGCTTCCATCCCCGCTGTGACATCTTCCCAGGTATGGTACCCAAACACCTGGAGGCCTCTCTGACTGTCACTAAACCTATTCTGGCTCCCAAATGCAATACAGTGGAGCAGCAGGAGCTGGACGCTCCCATTGATCTCAGCAAAAAGTGTTCGCCAGTCCCTGACAAGACATGTAGCTCCCCTAAAAGACTGTTGGACTATCACGAATGTGCAGTGTGCAAGATAAGTTTTAACAAAGTGGAGAACTACCTGGCACACAAACAGAACTTTTGCCCTGCAACAGCCGCCGCCGCTGCTGCTGCCGCCGCTCAGCAGCAACAACAGCCACAACAGCAGCAACAACACAATGAGACTGGCAGCCTGGAGTCGACCATGTTCCCAGATGTGAAAAGTGACGGCAGTAACAACCCTGATGACGTCTATGATAAGAGCCCAGGCAAATGTGACAAGAATGGCAATGGGAAGGTGATGGTGCAGAATGGAGGCATGTTCCCCCCTCACCTGGGGCCTGTGTCGGGACTCAAGACTTTTGCTGAGCCCCAACTCATTCCAGCAAAAGATGAGAACAAGAATATGTTTCTGCCCCACTGCCTTTATCCCGGAGCAATAAAGAAGGTGAAAGGTCCTGAACAAATATCGCCGTACTTTGGGATAAAGCCAACTGATTATGTGACTGGGGGAGCAATGATGCAGGGAGAGGCCAGCGAACAGGAGCAGAGCGTTAATGGGGGAGGAGGAGGCACAGGAGGAGGAGGAGAGACAGGAACAACCAGAGAGCAGGCCCAGCAACCTGCTGCTAATGGCTGCCCCCACCCTGGCAAGGAGTCCCTTCCCCTTCTGCCCAAAAACCGGGGCATGGTCATCGTCAACGGGGGGCACAAGCCCGAGGAGCGTTCAGGCACAGCTCCACCGCAGCAGGAGAACCAGCCCCAGCCAGACGGCCAACCTCCCAATCCCTCACCTACGTGGGCCACTGAGAACCAGGCTGACTCCAACGAGAACATGTCGCCTTCCTCCAAGTCTCCAAGCGAGGAGGCGGCACCCACAGCCAACAAAGGCGTGAACGGCTCTGGAAGTGGCAAATACTGCCGCCTCTGTGATATCCAGTTCAACAACCTGTCAAACTTTATTACCCATAAGAAGTTTTACTGTTCATCACATGCTGCAGAGCATGTAAAATAAGTTGAGAAGAATAAGACAGGTTCTTCTTCTCCCTCCCACACTTCCCCTCCCCTTCCCTCCCAACTTTTACCCCTTTTTTCTCCTTTGTTTTGGTACACTGTTGTGTCTGGAATAGTGCATCACGCAGTGCTAAACGCTGCTTGTGGACAATCAAGAGAAGCTTCTTCTTTCATCGTTTTAAGACTTAAAAATGCAAAACCATTGGTTAAAAAAGAAAAAGAAAAGAAAAATGAATCAAGAATAATATTGGTGCCACTTTCACATTAATTTATTTTACAATCAGTATTAATAGGAGTAGTGATCTTAATTTAAATTCAAAATGAAATTTATATCAGAGTTGTTTGTAATGTTATTGTATAGTCATTCTTGTGTAGCACACATATTGTTTACACTGTAATGTAGGCTCAATGAAACAATAGACAATACAAAAATGAGATGCATTTTAGACACAAAAATAGCTACTGAGGCACTTGTATTCTTATTTGCTGTACCAGTTTCTGTATATGCCCAAAATGTCACTTGCAGATTGCTACTAATGACTTGTTTGCCTTAAAAATCACCATTTGGGGGTGATAACCAGGCACAACCCTGCATCTCACATTTTGGCATATACACATGGCTTTGCATACATATGTGGCTGTTTGTCCCTGTCTCTTTTCTTCAACTCAGATGTGGATGTTTTCATGAGGATGGCAGCATTCTTGTATAGTACTCGTATTTCTGTTTGATGATACACTTTGGTCTCCCTTTTTGAAATTTGCTCTCAATGCAATACTTTGTAAATTAGGGAACATTACTGAAAGCAGTATTATGAAATGGGGACTGTGCATATAATTATTTGTAACCCCATAGGGAAAAAAAGAAGTTGTACAAGAATTAAGTTTATTGCTGAAGAACAAGATGGGTGGGAGGTCAGTGGGGATACTGATGTAAAATTATCATTCCAATGTCCTGATTATGGGAGAAAATGTTTCTTAAAACGTTGTTGCTATGCATGTATATGGATGGAATTAAATTCCAGATCTGTTGGAAATTTTTATTTTGATGTGGTGTCATAATTAAACTTAAATCCTCAGGATAAACCAATGCTGTCTGGTCTTTCTTTCACAATACTGTATAGCCATCAAAAGAGTAGGGGTGTAAGTATTGAGTTGAGTATTGTGATATTATGTCTCGTGATATTGTATTGATCCTCGAAAACCATGTATAGCTTTTAAAGTACTAGTTTATGTGCAATACTTGTGGCATTGATTTATTTTTTGTTGTGTTTAAACCCCCAACTGCTAGGTAGCAGTGATGTTGGCATAAAAAACTTTTTTACTCAGAATATAAGCATAAGGGAATGTGTATGCACATATTATGTATTATTTTTTTTTAAATATATGCAATATATATGCTTACAGTATTGCCATATATATCACAATATAGTGAATCGTTACCCCTATATCATGATATGCATCATATCATTAGCATCTTGCCAATACACAGCCCCACTAGAATTCATGTTTTCCACAAAAATAAGCCCAGTATAGTTAAAATAGATGCAAAAGCGCATGAAGATGTATTTACAAAAATGATAAATTAGCTTCGCAGGCAATACTCATCTGTTTAAAATTGATAAAATAAATCAAATCAACTTAAGTCCAAAAATAGAGGTCTATGTCTGGTTGTGATTTAACTCAATTATATACAAGTAACAAATGACTGAAGCTGATGCAACAGAGACATAGGAACCCAATGTACATTTCCCTCTGGCTATAACATGGCAGAATATTAAGACAGAACTGAAGGAGATAAAAAAAAAAAAAGTATCAGGGTGAGCAATGACGTGTGTGGCCTTTACATTGATAAGGAGTAAATTTGGCACTGGCCAATCAGGTAAAGAGACTGAAATAACAACTTGAAAGATAAGATTTTCTGAATCTAAGACTGCAAATATTTCATCACACTGAATGCCCTCCAGTTATTTTCAATTAAAAAGCTTCCAATGGAGCAGAGCTGTGCAAAAATATGTTCAAAAATTGACTACTTCATGAACCTCACCAGACATTTAGACAATCTCTACAGATCGCTGCAGGGAAAGGTAAAAAGATAACTTGAATATTTTATTGAATATTTAAAACATATTCGATTACTGTCCATGTCTGGGGTATTGTTACATGTTGGCCGTGGGTCACTCGCTCTGCTGTTTGGCTTGTCGTTGGTTGACTAGCTTCCTCAGGTGCTGGCTGATGGCAGATGGCTTCTTGTAGATCATTCGCCGGTCTGCTCCTTTTATGTGAATGTGATTGGCTGACGGGTAGGACTCCTCCAGAAACTTCTTTTGAAGCTTAGCTACCATCTGGTGCAGGGAAAAGATGATTTAATATGGCTTTTGCACAACCATTACTACAGTATTGTTCTGTCACTGTACCAGCATTAATAATGCATCATAGAGTTGTGCAGCTACAGTAAACATTCTCACCTGGTTTAGGTGTTCTGGTATTTGCTGGTCAAAGGAATCCCCAGTGATCACACTCACAGATGTTCTGCTAGAGAGGGGCTTGAACTTTGTGATATCCCTTTAAAAGCAACAACAAACAAATGTAAATACTCACCACCTGACTTCTACATTGAACACGCAATCCATCCAGAAAAGAATGAAAAAAAGACTGCCATACCTTACTTGAGCTGCACTTTCATTCAAAAAGTAATGCTCATCCACAGCACTGCTCTGGTGTGCAGGGTTACTCAGTAGGTATTTCTGTAAGAGACAGAGAAAATAAATCAGTCACAACATCTAAAATAAATGAATGAATGGACACTACTTACATTACCTTCAGAGCCAAGACAACACAAAAAGAAAGCAAACCAGTACACAGCACTGTAAATGCATCAAACACATACACTTGACTAATTAAACACACGTCACACTCATCGCACGTTGATGGCAACAAAAACAGAGCTATGTCCAACGCCTTGTATGTTAACACATACTGTAATCTACCTTCATCTGTCATATAAAACAGACTCGGATGTGCAGCAGACATTTTCAGGAAAAGCTCAACTCAAACATCATAATAAAAAGGACAGTAGAATTTGGCATTTCATTCTCGACCTCATCCAGATCACACAGGTGGCACTGACTGTCCTCCTCTGGGACTAAACGGAAGGATTTCAAATTTTAACTGAGCACAAATAGACCTCTAAGGTTAATAGAGACATATTGCTCGGAAGTGTACCAACAGTTAATATAATATCTTCTGACCACCATTTTTAGATAGCAGAGATTTCAAGTAGCTTACATGAGTACAGTATATACAGTATATGTACATGCTGTATATAAACTGAAGACCAAAATTAGAGAATAACTGTTCCCTTGCACATGCTTAGTTATTTGAGCAATTCCAATAAAAGATTTGTTTTGTAAGACCATTTGGAATGTTAATTAACCTATTCCACAGTTGCAGCATGTCACCCATCCCATATCACCACAGCCACCATTACTGACAGTTTTGGTGACATCCTAAAAACAAAGCTTCACCTTTTGTTTGTCTACAACCCCAGATCCCTGCTGCGCCATCGAAAACTGGACGGACACAAGATTTAAACAGTTGTGTGTATGTATTGTATCTTTACAAAACCTAACCTTATTTAGAACAGCCCCCCATGACATTAATTATAACTGCACTTACAGTATGATCACACTGTGGTTGAATCCCTGAGACATAACTGCTCACATCCTTCAAGCAGAACGTAATACTCTTTCTTAGTTCCATCCAAAATGTACATTTCCAAGATCATTTCTAAAAAATGATGAATGATTGCTATTGTAAGTCAATTTTAATGCGGAGAAGTCAGTGTCCAGCTCATTCAATGAGGCAGCTCCAGACAGAATACTGATATGACATTGTGAATCTCAGCCTTGGTTCTCTGATTCTCCAGCTCAGGCTGCGGAAAGTTCACCACGCGATCAAAATAGATGGGAATTCTCAAACTGAGCAGGATTCCCCTTTAACTTTTCTCCATCATGTGATGTGACCAGATCGCTTTAGTGCCGTTAACATAGCAGCAAACAATTCTGCTCCAGTTCAATTAAGCAGTGGTTACAGAACATGCCCTTGAGAAATGGACTGCATGCTCTATTGAGCCCGGCTAGCTTGTGTGTGCGTGTGTGCATGTTGTAACCTTCACTAGCCTGTCTACAAAACCTTTCTCTGTCCTTGGAGAATTCAAGCACAATGATGTCCTTATCTCCTTGGCAACAACTGTAATACTTGAAAAGCTGAAATAGGTCCCTCATCACTACTGCCATCAAATCGTGGGTGGCTGGCAGCAGAGAACAAGGAGCCTTAACGAACTGTTCACATTCATCCCGGAGCAGGAGTCATCGCATCATACAGGCAGCTGCAGAAAAAAAATTAATGCTGAACAGATGTTACTGGGTGCTCAGAGGGTCACTAAAGTGTGAGTTGTTTCTCCAAAGAAAAAAAATTTAAGAATTTGAAGTAAGACTTAAATGCAAGAAACAAATACTAAATTGGCTTTCCTGCAATAATCTCTCTTTCTCTATGTCCTTAATGCGGCCAACATGAGTGTCTCTTCCCCTGCTGTAATAAGGTGTCAGTCTATAGAGAGCATTAGCCCATGATACCAAAGATATTGGTTGTTGTTCATCACCAGAATCCATTACTACTCCTCTGCCTGAGATGTTTTCCATAGCAAGTAAAAAATGACTACATGACTTCATGACAAGCAGTGTCGCCACTGTATGTGTGTGTGTGTGTGTGTGTGTGTGTGCGCGTGCATGTGTGTCTGTTTAAACAGATTCACAGCAGATCTAAGTGTGGACAGGTGAAAAATACAAAGAGCCTACCTTGTAGAAAAACTTCATCTGCAATACACAGGAAAAAGCTTGTAGCTTATATTAACAGCCTTTTCCTCTATGACCTGTCAAAAGGCTGAGTTTACAATATAGCAGGCATCAGGAGATACAGTGCAATTGCAGCATCATGTCAGCTCCAGGAAAGGGGTTCAGTTTTCATTTATTTTAAAATGACGTCTGGTGTCACATCATGCCAAATTCACAGTCTCTGACGATGTGAAGACAAACGCTTCTGCAATCATCATCCTCTCGTATCTCTGCGGAGGAGGAGACATTATTCTCACACTAGCACCATCCTGTGGCTGCACAGGAACGATGGGAGGAGCACATTTAAAATGCCTAAAACATATCACTTCTTCCTCCATATTTCTAATTAGGTTAACAAAAGCTTATTCAGACTATAGAAATTTTATTTCAATTCATTGTATATGAGAGTACCTTTCTACCTTCATGACTTCTTATATTTATCCCTAAATCCCCTCAAAATCGCTGTGACCTGCTTTGCCACCTTCAGCATGACACAACATTTAAAAAAAAAGAAATATTTCTGCAGCTTCGTCTTTTTTTTTTTAACAATCAATGTCACAGCCTTTTGGGCTTTGGGGGTGCCAGTGTGTGTGTGTGTGTGTCTGTATGTGTGTGTGTGTGTCTGTGTGCATTAGCCTGACCTGGCGCTGGATGAACTCTTCTGAGACATTTTCGCCTTTAATAGTCGGTTCAATCGCCCCAAGTATAATCAGCATGCGGCTCAGCCCTGTAGCTGCTGAAAACTGCCTGGCTTGGAGTGAGGGCAACAGCTTACCATACCTAAACAAACACACACAAACATCCACACCCATAAAACTTTAGCAGAACACAAACTAAAGTGTTAAGAAATTTGGGGACATTTAACCATTTGACTTTCTGGTTTTTAAAGCGACATTAGTTGATTTTTGGCCACCGGTCGGCAACAGAGTGCAAAATCATTAATCGTTATAAAGGCAATCTAGCTGACGTGTTAGGAAGCAATTTTCTATTTACACATGCGGCAAACATGGAGTAAGCATTCATAAGTAAGTGTTCTGAGTGGAGAGAGCTAAGGGAGACAGCAGAATGGGTCGATAATTCCCCTGCAGGTTCATCTCTACTACTGACCTCTTTCAGATGACACTTGTTGTTTGATCAAACGTTAATATAAAAATATTAGTGCAGCATTAAAGTGTAGCCATCACTGCCAGTCTCTACCGACAGGTTTACCAATAGTCACTTGAGTCTTCAAAGATAAAAGCAGCTGTAAATGATCAAGTCAGTGTTAACAACATACTTCGTTCTAAACGGCTCTATTACAGCAACAAGGGTGATTTTATGATCACAATAACAGAGTCAAGCAAAGTCATACATAATATTTGCCTTCCTCCATTCTTTTTCAACCCAAAATCTCAAAGTTTCTCTTCAGAAACATTTGCCTGGGGAATGAGAAATACACTTTTTTTGGCAGATGAGAGAAGAAGAGCTGTGGGATTTTGTAACTCAGGAGGCCCAATCGGTCTCGGCTCACTGGTGCTCTGAATTGGCTGGTCTCAGCCTGTGGAGCCCAATCAATAGTGCCGTGCGCCTGCTGCCGCCATCGCCGCACCGCGCAGCCTGCTCCTACACGCAGCCAATAGCAGCACCAGGAAACACTCGTCCCTGTCTTAGTCTTACTCCTGATCTTGGCCAGACGTACAGCGCTGTGCCCCTGTGTCTTATCGATTTCTCTCTGCTGTGTTCAGTCCTACAGTACATTTCAATACCTGATAAAGGACTATGATATTAGGGTAAGCTTAACAGGGATGCAAATAATGGCTTTTTTCACTACTGATTAATTTCAATAGTAATAGTAGATCATTTTATTTATTTTACCAATTAACCGATTAATTGCCCAGTCTATAAAATTAAAGAAAATAGTGAAAAATGCCCGTAACAATTTTCCAGAGCCCAACTTGATGTCTTCAAATTGCTTTTTTCTGGCTTCAATAATGGCAATGTCAGTATGTATCAGTATTTCATGCAGATTTTCATAGTGACTCAGATGATGAGTCCTAACGGCTTAAGTGAACCCCTGATTTTTTCTTTAATGCCACCCTGAGGTTGACATTTTCGGTTTGTAGTGAAATGCCTCATGGATTGCCATAAAGTACAGACCTTCATGTTCATTTAGGTTTGTTTTGTTAAGTTTGTAATTTATTTTGCTGTTTTGTTTCTAAGATTCTTTTCTGCCCTCATTTGATAGTGGCAGTAGAGTACAGACAGGAAATGTCAGGAGAGAGCGGGATATTACATCCAAGGTCCCCCAACCGTGGACGTTGAGTGCATACGGTATGCGCCTTAAACCATTAAGCAATGGTTTATGTGTTTAGTGCTAATTAGCCAATGTCAGCGTGGTAATACACTGAACTAACACGGTGAACATGGTAAACATTACTTGCTAAACCTCAGTGTATTAGCATTGTCATTGTGAGCATTTTGCTATGCTGATGTTAGCATTTAGCAGCCTCACAGAGCTCTTCACTTGATCATTTATCAAAATTGTCAAAGATTTATTTTTCTTTTAATTGACTATTAATTGACAGTTAATTTACTAATTATTTCAACACCTATTAATACTTGTAGTAAGAGTATCTTACAGCACAAGCCCTCGCTGTATATTACAGTCTACATTTCACTGTATAACAGGCAGGGTTCGGCACTGCTTCACTGCCATTATACTGATCATATCAAACCTACATCATAAACATGCACTTTTCATGTGTAAAATAACCCATTTCACCTGTTGTTGATAACCATGTTGATATGACATGCTGCTATCCAAAGAACTGTAGCTTGAAATATCAAACTCTGCTCCGGCAAAGCATGTCAGCACTGATTGGTCAGATAAAGCGGTTACAAACAGCCAAGAATGGTTGTTCAACTCCTACAAATGGCTGTGTAAAGATGACATATCTGCCATATTCATGGCAGAAGAGACAGTCCCTACAGGTCAATAATAGATACACGCAGAATGGGGAACAGAAACAAGTTGACTGCTCTAATTTTCAGTTTTCAGTAGACAGAAAAAACTTTTCAAATCAGACCTCCGGAGAGTGACATTTTGACATTTTCATCTTCCTTGCTACAGTTTTCCCCCCGAAGTCATTCTGGCACCACAATTTAGAACTGACTCTTCGACCTGGCTCTTAAGGGACTTCTCAGTCTCTGCACATTTTCCACCTGTCACCCTTTTCTTACCCCTTGATACCAAAAATAAAGGGGAAAAAAAAAACCCCTCTCCCTATCAGCCCCCTAGTTCGAATCTGGTCAAATCATTCCTGGGTCTGGCATTGAACATTATTTCAAGGATTCTCCAGCCACCTGTCCTATTCCCTCCTCTTTTTTCCATTTTTAATTCTGCCCCGGAGTGAGGATTATGCGAAGCAAGGCATGCGTGTCAAAGGGAAATTTAGTGGGTAAAGACAGCCAAGATTGGCGGGATGAATTAAACAGATAACGGGAGGAGACGAAGTGGGGGAACCATGTAGAGCAAAACGCCTCACCGATGTTGGTCATTTCAGAGGGGCTCTTTTTTTTTTTCCTCCCCACAGGAGCGAGGAGGCAATATCTAAATTAATAAAGTGATGAAATGAGTTTGTGCCGTGGACTTTCTGCTGTTTGACTTTCCCATCTGGATTAGTGCAGGCTGAATGGACGCTCTGTTACTTTTGTTACAACTGCGCAATTCACTGTCGGAATTTGGCCCTGTAGTGATAAGGCTCCCCTCCTCCTCCTCCTCATTACCATCTCATTTCATATGCAGGGCCTCTGTTACCTGAGAGCCTGCTCAGACACAAAACACGAACTATTACACGAGCTTCTGCCAACTATTACAATGAGCAAAGAACATTTAAACACGGACTATTACATGAGGCTCAACTAACTATTACGCCGAAGGAACTTTTTTTTTTTAAAATAGTTATTGCAAAGACTTTCAGAGAATATTACAAAAAGGAGGGCATATATGGACGTGGGCAGATGTATGATGAGGCCTCCAACTCTCACACAGACAGAACAATTTGACCATATTTTTAAGAATTCTAATTTTCAATGACTTCTGTGAATCAAGATTCATCACAGCAAAACAGCTAACTGTAGTTCGACACGGACGGAGCTTTAAACCCCAGATTTTACATGGAGCATAACACTTGTAAAGTCTCAAACGGTTTAACACAGCAAAATATGGTCTGAAAATAGTAAAACACAGTGTGAAATCAAGACAAAATAGTAGGTTTAAAAATGTATGAAATGCTACATGAGTGACCTTTCTGAATCGGAATCTATCGAATAAGTTAACACCACCCTTAGGCACAGTTAGTGTATGGTGTGCCATGCATGAAGTACTACACTTTGAGTGATTTTATTGATGATGACTTAGGTATTTATTGTGGTACTGGGTTAGTGCTAGTATGATGTTTTCTAATCACATGCAGTTTGCTATTTTAAATCGAGGGCTACAAAGGAAATAAGTCTTGGGCTTTATTGTGTTACTGTATGCTTGATGTTTTTGTATTTGTGTGTGATTTGATTACAGCTATGTTAAATTACCAGAAGCTAGTGTATGGCCTTTTTTTATTTTTACACTGACAAACATTCCACACACAGAGAAAACTTTTCAGATCACACTTATGAAGAATTAAAGTTTCATAAACCTTTCCATATTTTTCACACAGGCTTTATCTGTGTGAAAAAGCAGGGCTACAGTTAAACACACTGTTCTAACTCAAACAACACTTTACTTTCTCATCTAAATTTTATGAAACGACACACCCAGCCAATTAACACTACCCTTAGTTACTGTATGAAGTATTGTGCTCCTGAATTGAACAGTATTTAGCACCATATTGTTCTCACGCAAGCAGTTCCATAGCTTTGTGGTTGTAACACCCCAGTTTCCCCAAGGGGATCATTATTTGCTTCATATTTTATGCCAAGAAGGGGCAGGAAAATTGTTTTTGGAGGCTAAGCAAAGCAAAAGAAAGAACCACTGCTGTTCCTTGACATAGTGAATGCATTCTGGTTACATTCTGTTTAATAATCTGATTAGTATCTAATATAAACTATTCTGATTCTGCTTTTGTGTGAATACTTAAGGATGCGTTCTAACTGGCACAATTATTGTACATTACATTTAGTACTATATCTGCTTCATAACCTGCCTGATAATCAGAGCGAATTGCCATTTTGTTTCACTTTATTCATTCACTATTTGAATCAGTGAACAAATCTGAGGGGTGGCCGGCAATTCAGAGGTCTGAAGGAGGCTACTTTATTACATTCCATGCTGCTACAGTTGTAGCTTCCAATGGTAGAAAAATCAATTTGTAATCATTTTATTTGGGGAATAAGCACAACCTTTACATTGCCCAATTATAAAACAACTAAAATATATGATGTAATACCTAGTATGAACACAAGGTGTCAGTCTTGCACCACAGCCGATGTCAGGCTTAATTGCAGCCTCTCTTGTCTGCTCTCAGTCCCCCCCCCCCCCCCCCCCCCC